GGATGGATAGATGGCATTGTAGAGATAATGCCATGAGTGTTTTTAGCTCTGCCAAAGGTGACTACTTTGATGAAAAGTTTAGATTACATTTTGATTTATAAGTGGATTCCAGGGTTGTTCTATGCTTTAATCTCAACGAGACATTAAACTGCTTGAATTTCAATAAAAAACTGGAAGAATTGGGGTCTTCTTAAAGTTTGGACCTGAAGCATATGCACAGTGTGGATTAGTTGACTCTTGTGTTGTGCTGACAGACTTGTTTCTCTGTGCTCAGATGACCTTCAGCTGATGTTGCTGTGCGGGGCTGACGTCCTCGAGTCTTTTGGGATTCCCAACATGTGGAAGCAGGAGGATATCGCAGAGATCGTGGGCCGCCACGGTTTGGTTTGCATCAGCCGCAGCAACAGCGATCCACATAAGTTCATCCACCAGTCAGACTTGCTGTGGAAGTATCGCAAGAACATCCATATCGTCCGCGAATGGGTGACTAACGACATCTCAGCCACTCACGTGCGGCGGTCGCTGCGGCGCGGCCAGAGCGTCAGATACCTTCTGCCAGACAGCGTCATTCACTACATCAAAGAGCACGGCCTGTACAGCTCTGAGAGCGAGCAGAAAAACGCAGATGTGGTTCTAGCGCCCCTCCAGAGGTACACGGGTGCTTCCTCAAGTTGAGGAAATTTGACTGTGAATTTGAAACAAAAGTGCCTGCACTGAACAGGAGTCTTTTCTAAGAATGGGTGTGTTTCAGGTCATTGAGTGAAGTGATTTAGTAACAGTTTCACTTTGCCGGAACTTTTTGTTTGCGTGTGTGGAAAAATACACAAGATCACAAAATAACTGAGCAGCAGATCATATAGATGAGCGGTCACATAAATGTGTTTCCAGTCAATCAAAGCATTTACATTCAACTGTGAAACGGTGAGCCGACGATGTTTTTTATTAGATGAAATATGGTGCATAGAGAATTAATTGAATCACACTTGCTTTACCACAGTTATCCTTTCCATGTCTGGCTTCAGCGCACTCCGGTTAGTCAACATGTTTTTGTACCTAGAGCTGTATTTTTCCATGCTTTAAATACCCACTTCTTCGATCTAATGATAAAGACATGATATGTGATATTCTAGAAATAAACAGCACTCTTTGTTTACCACCTTGTGAGCCGTTCATTGTTGCTTTTATTGCACAGATAAGAATCCTTAGAAAGTCCTAGCTTTGCTTTCATGATGAAAATGCTTATCTCGCAGGATTATCCTTACTTTTAGATTTCCGGTGAAATAACGAAACTTCAGCCGAATGAAGAGATGCGATTATAGTAATGGGGTTTAAAACTAGAATATAACAGAGAACATCATCATTAGTATCAGAATTGATCATTATTAGTAGTAGTATTTTAATAATAATAATAATTTGATTATGATTAATTTCGAAAAACATTATTATTTTTACCAATTTACTCTGAGTATGTTTTAGCTAGCATCCCAAACTCCTCTGTGTTTTATTTAAGCAGTTAATACGTCTGCAATGTTATTACGCACATTTAGAGTGTTGGCAGGGGAAAAACCCTGACGTGGTTTTCCCATGTAACAAGTCACCCCGTCAGAAGAAGCAACAACAACACCCGAGTATTTGGATAAGTGCCCTGTGTTTCATTTTTTTTCCACACTTGACTTACATCAATCCTTTTCACACTGCATGCCAGATAGTGCAAGAGTGTCACTATGTTCCTCATTGCACATAAAGGTGTGCCATTTTTACGTAAGCCCTGTTTGTAAGAAACAGCAGCTGTTTGATTCTGTTTACGTCTAAACTGGAATATTGAAATCCCTCTCCCTATACAACTATTATATAAATATAAAACCTTAAATGAGATGAGCATGATTTATTTTCTTTTAACTGGAAATATGTAGATTATTGAAACTCAGAGAGAGTCCAGTGCCACAGCAAATTCACACATAGTACTAAAACATTACAAATAAAGATAAAGTGCTAGATAATGTATGCCTACCAGCTACTACACTACGTGATAAATACATATAATCACAATTTAAGATTTCTCTAACTGTGCAGTAAAAAGTATAGTGTGCAAATCGGTCAATATAACGTTTACAGTCGTGAAAAGTCAAGATTTCAACAGGACTGTGCAGCCCTTATTCCATGATTATTACCTATTATTATTATTATTATTATTACCTATATATATTAGCTTACAGAACCACCTTTAGAAACAGTAACTTGGAAGTTACAACTTTCTGTTTGATTTTTCAGTCACATGGTTGTGGAGGAACTTTGGTCCACTCTTCTATGGCTGTGCTGCCTTTTTCTTTTTAGAAAGAAGAGGCTTTGTCCCGGTGACGATTCCAACGATTCCAGCTGCTCCTTGCTGCTGCTTACCTTCTTAATTCCTATCGAAGCAACTAAGGTGGACTTAGTTTGTGTACTTAGTCATGTAAAATCTCTTTTCACGTGGCTGTTTTTACTGCAGTTATATAACAGAAATAGAGTGACTGCTTTGCTGTCATTGTACAAGTGATTAATTCTGAGTAACTTTTTGTTTTATTAAAAGAAAAGGATAAAAGCCTTTCAGTCCGTCATTCAAATCCAAACACTGCTTCTGGATAACATGACCCATTAGGATTTGAATGCCATAAAGGCGTGATGCCCGGGGCAAATTTTCACAGCCATGTTTAAACTGAACTGTTGCACCAGTCTGACACGTCTGGCCTCTTCTTTACTCTGGAACAAATCAGGTCACCTCTCTCATCCTCAGGTGACAGGACACACCTGCTTCTGAGTCTCCTGATCTCATATAAGCAGCATTTGCCTCAGCCTCTTCTCAGCAGTCTGCACCTGACCGGCTCAGGATCACCTTGCACTTACACGCTTCCCAAAAGAAGGAAAAGTCAAGTCCGTCAGCATGCCTGCCAGCCTGAGCGGCAAATGGGAGATGATCAGCAATGTCAACTTTGACAACTACATGATTGCGCTGGGTAAGTCCGCGTGTTGTTTCCCTCCAGAGTATGTGCGTTCACATCATTCAAAATGCACTTTTGTAGAAAAACACGGCAGCGGGGCTATTTATCATTTAATTGGACTGTGCGAGAAATGAGAAAATGAATTTGTGCCTACTGTTCAACCTCTTTTTCCACTTTTCCAGGCATAAGCGCTTCCTTACGAAAAATTGCTGCAAAACTTACCTTAAAGAAAACAATTGAGCGGCAGGGGGACCAGTTCATCATCAAAACCACGAGCACTTTCCGAAACTACACGGTCACCTTCAAAGTGGGCCAGGAATTTAACGAGTTTACAAAGGGACTAGACAACAGACACCTGAAGGTGAATGGGAATGGCTAAAGCGTATCATAAATATCATAATTGGAAGGGTTTGTTTCATAGATAATTGATGCACTTTGAATATTATGCATGTTGAAAAACAAGTCGTGATTCACGCTTCGCTTCTCTGTTACCTGTGCAGTCACTCGTGAGATGGGAGGGGAACAAACTAATATGTGAACAGACTGGAGAGAAGAAGAACAGGGGATGGACTCACTGGATTGAAGATGACAAGCTTCATCTGGTAAGACTGTGGATTTGGACATTCTACATAATACACAGAATTTAAAAACGATGCATTATTGAACTCATTTGAATCTGTTATATTTAAATAAAATGTAATTATTAAAACTTTTCTGACCTTTTCTCCTTAGGAGCTGTTCTGTGAAGGACAAGTCTGCAAGCAGGTTTATAAGAACGTTTCAAAGACGAGAGAAGAAGAATGAAGAGTTGGAGGAGGATCTTGAGGTGGTCCAGAATTAGAAGGCTTTATGGAGTAGATCCATCAGCGTAAAACCCTGACTGTGAAACCCACCCCGAGAGTTGCGACTGGTGTCTTCCCCGTTGCTTATATACTCGGTTCAAATGGAAACGTCTGTACTCTCAGGGTATGCATTTACACCACTAGATGGTATCGCTGCAATACTTTTGTCAGATGCTGGTGTGTCTGGTCCAGCAGCCTGTTGGTGCGTGCCTCTATCCCAAACCGTCAAGAATGTTTATAGCACCATTCAGCTGGCTGAAAAAATGTATTTTTTGTTAAATATTTAGAGCTACGAGAAAAAGGAGACACGGGTGCTGCTTGTGCTCTCCGTCGTGCATTTTGTTCAATGTTTTCTGTAAATTTCTCATTCATGCAAGAACATTTATAACCAGTGTAACTGAAAGTTATTCATAGGATGTTTGGAATACAGTTTTGTTGTATGTAATATGTGAGTAAGAAAAATAAATCTGATGTAAAAGTTGAAGCATTTTTTTTATTTTGTTCTTAGTAAACTGACAGGTTTTTGTTGTGCCATTAATCACACGTCACCATCGGATCGACCGGTAAAGTCACCGTACCCCGTCGGCTGAATGCTGCTGACACACTTCAACTATAAGTTACACTAATGCATACAGTTTGCTGCTTGAGCTCTGCGGTAGAAGCTTCAGGTAACAGTAGTTTAGTGCTTCTGCAGCAATCGTTGTAACCAGAATGACTAAAGGACTGAGCGGATTATCCCATGCAGGTCACACTTTGGGAATAACCCCTCATGTCTCTTTGTAATTTAAAAGAGGTCATTCATCAGCGTGTGCAGCTCGTTTTTAAAGCTCAACCCTACTTGATAATTGCATAAATTTCCAGACAAATAGAAATGTGTTGAGGAAATTCTGCGCTCACAGCTGCCCTTCATTGATCCACTTCTGTGCCCAGAGAAAATGTCTCATCTGATTTGACTCTGCAGCACCACCTGTCAGCTACCTATGATCCACTCCCAGGCACTTCATACACTACTCACACTTTGCCTTAGGTGACCTAAATAGGTCACATGGGGTGGGGCAAGGTCTCATAGTGACTTTACCCTTAACCCCAGGAAATGGTAATGACCCACACCTATTTTCACACCATCCACGACCCTCAGGACCACCTCCAAAGGGGACCTGGGACTCTCCATCTTCTTCGTTTGTTTTAAAAACTGAAGAAGCTTCTTGGATGGGAAGTGAAACATCTTCACAAACCTAAAGAAATCCAGTTGGCCTCTTTTTTTTCAATCTCAAAACTCAATCCAGGACAGATATTTTTGCACTTATATATATATATTCATGAGTATACCATAGAGTATAAATAGTAAATGAACTGGTACTTTCTAGTTAGTTGATCAGTCAAGTGGGGCTACTCAAGGTTTAAGTGTCTTGCCCAAGGATACTTGGGTACTTTGGATACTGACTGCCTGTGTTGTTGTTGTTTGTTTTTTTTAAATATATATTAATTACAGCGAGTTATTGCCAAAAATTTTAAAATTTGGTTGCCTATTTAGTTCATCTGGTGTACAGCCCATCCTGTCACACACGTGATGTGGCTGTAACTGCGTTAAAATAAAATGTATAGGCACATACTGTGCAGGCATCTTTACCTGGTGACAGATGATTGGCAATTACGTCACTAATATAAGTCTTTGCAGTGACCTTGCACCCCTCTGACTTGCCATGGTTCACGCACGCTCAGTTTGATGCGTTTTATGTGGTAAATGTGACCTTAGTTATAACCCGAGGTCACGCTAATGCAGGAGCGTTACATTAAAGTGACCTAAACAGACTTTTATACTTACACAACAGATGAAATACTCCATTTATCTGTGCGACACGCTACGCACCCCCACCTTTGGTCCCTTTGGTCACGTGACTTGTGGAACCAAAATGGCCGCTGTTGTATTTTGACGTATAATAGCTAGCTACTTTTCTTTTTGTTTCATTCTTGGTAGAAAACCAGCAAACAGCAGACTTTTTGGGGGAGCTATATTTCGCCATCCTCCGAATATCGGTGTCGTTTTTTATCTTGAAGACAATCAAACTTCTGACACATATATTTGTTGAACGAGTTAGACTATGCATATTTAGATCTAATACAAGCTAGCTAGCTGGCTCTGGCTGGCATATTAAAGCATTAGAAAGTGAAATAGCTAGCTGTCTTAGCTGGGATGATGGAGGAGTTGAGCGCAGATGAGGTAAGGTGACAATATGAATAAACGCTTACACAGGGAATTGAAATGATTTTACGTTACTGACGTTAGAAATGTGCGTTTTGCAAATTCTTTCTTTACCCCTTTTAGGGATATTGCTGCTAGCTGAGATGCTACAAAAACTAGCTGATGGAAGAAATACATTTTCGATAAATATCTCAGTTAGCTGGAACACGGCAGTTGGTGTCACGCAGTTTAACTCAAAGGCTAATTATTCACTTCTTATATTGGGAATATAAGAAGTGAAATAACGAGAGGCGGATTTGGGCCGTGTTCTATTTAGCTGGAGCAGCTGGGTTGCTAAATGAAAGTAGCTAACGTAATGCTACAAGCTGGAGAACACTGCTCTTATATAAAGCATCGAACATATTTCAAGATATTGTTAGCCGCTTGTAAGTGGCAGATATTTTTCGGTGTTGTGTTTTGACAGGGAGATTAGGAAGGGAACGTTCTTTTTACTGATATGTTTTCGCATGTCACCTCGCGGCGGTTTAGCTGACAGTCAGAAATTAGCCTGCGAGACGACTCAGCATAAAAAACACACACAGAGACCGGGCCACCATTGTGCAATCAGCCGTGGGCCGATGCATGGCCATTGAGCTGTTTATATGAAATCGCATACAGCATACTGCAGCTTACTGTTATCATTTTCAGCTGCTTGATTAGCATTCAGAGAGTGTGCAGCAGATAATTTAGCTTTAACGTCGCCCCTCGGCCAAGCTGCGAAGATTGGTGTCCGCATTTGACTTTATTCGCGATGTTTTTCTTCAGATCTGACTTTAAAACGTATAACAAAGAAAATCTTTGCCTTAATGATCTGTCTTTTCTGGGCAATACATGCATAATTTGGTTATTCTTACAGTGTCCAGGCATTTATATACATACTTATAGGTTTATTAATAACCAATAATACATTTCAACATTATAACAAGAGCTACAGAGTTCTTTTAATGACCCTGTATATCTGCTCATTCAAGATTCGCAGGAGGAGACTGGCACGATTGGCAGGAGGACAAACGTCCCAGCCTAGCACCCCTCTCAGCACACCCCTGACATCCCCACAGAGAGAGACTCCACCTGGACCCCTCCCTGGACCCTCAGGTGCTGCACCCCAACCCGTGCCACCAGCTGCCTCTCAATCACTGGGCCTCAATGTCCACAGTGGTACCCCTGCCACATCTCCTATGGGCACCTCTGGTAAGAAATTAAAACAAGGTTCTGGGAATTTCCTATAAGGAAAAAAAAAATATTGAAAAAAGGTTTGTGACATTGAATGATTCACAGTGTTAAAATATCAAAAATCCCCCAAATCAGGGTACACTGTGACAAAAAGGTGTACCCTGCTAGACACGAATGGTGAGCCCTCTAGTACAAAGGTAGAATGGAGGCTTCACTCATGCACAGGCTCTAGAAAATGCAGCAGAGATCCATGTATGGATACAGCAACAGTTTCCTGGCATTGTTTGTTGCTATGCATAGCCAGCTGCTTTAAAGGTCTTCCTTTTAGGTCCAGTGGTGCATTTCCTAAGTGATTAATAAGAAGAAAAAAATACTGTCAGTTTAACAAGCCAAACCTTCTCACTAACTTATTAATGTGTATTACATCTGACATTGGTAGCGTAATCATTCAATTGCATAATTGTTGTATAACCAGGAGAGAGCTGTTAATTCCAGCCCGCTATCTGGAGTAAGATCCTTTGTTAATCAGATTTCTCGCTACCTGTCTGCAGTAGTCAGTAAGCAACTTAAAAATTCCAATCTGAGCCTTTGCTAACCCAGACTGACTAAACAGTTGGTTCTTCCTTAAGCAACAGCTGTGACATGAATTCTCAAACTGTACATGGTTGCTTATTCATGTCATATCTTTGTGTGGTTCCCAGTGGTAAGTGTTAGAGAATGGTAGTAAAAAAGTGCCGTATTTTCAGCATTAAACGTCATCTTTGATTACAATATCAGGAAAGATTAAGACGATAAAAACTATTTTGTATAAACGTCTTGATGCATTCTCAATCATCCAGGAAAGTAAAAGTCCAAAAGTTAATTCTGTTCATCTGGACGTAGCGTTTTGTGGGAGAAACGTTTCGTCACTCATCTAAGTGACTTCTTCAGTCTCAGCTGACTGCAGGTTTCCCTAAATTTTATAAACAGTACATTTGCATAATGACTGAAACCAGTCATGATACAATGCTGTGATTGCAGCCATTCCCCAACTCTCTGTGAATGGGACTCATAGCCATTGATCAGTGGTCTTTGATCAGTGGGTTTTGGTTGGTGGTTGTTGATCAATGGTCATGAGAATTTGTGTAATTATGATTAAGGAACTGACCTCCCAGCCCATTGTTCCTTCAGTGGGCTGGTTTCAGTCATTATGCAAATGTACTGTTTATAAGATTTGGGGAAACCTGCAGTCAGCTGAGACTGAAGAAGTCACTTGGATGAGTGACGAAACGTTTCTCCCACAAAACGCTACGTCCAGATGAACAGAATCAACTTTTGGAGTATTTTGTATAAAAACTAAACCTTCAGTTGAACAATCATTTCAAAGTCAAAGCCTCAAACCTGCTGTTTCTTCTTTAAAAACTTGTAGATATGTATATTAATATTTTCTTCATTTCTTTTTTTTTTTTCTGGAAAATGTATCCTTTTTTCCCCTGACTACTGCCACAACTTTAGGGCCTTTTTGCACATCCTCTTCCTCATTTCCGCTTCTTACATTTCTTGATCTTTTCATGTCATCACACTCTGATATTATGCCAGCCATGTATAGATGTATTTACTGCGTATGTCCTAGATTTTAGTCTACATTTACTGACATAGAAAATTAGGAGTTTCCCTTTGATCACAACATCCAGATGCGTTTGTCAGTCCACACGCAAGGCATTCGATTGGTTTATTCTTTTTGTTTCTGTTTGAAAATAGGATTTAATGTGAAAGGTAACTCGAGGGCATTTCAAAGAGGAATCAGCCCTGTGTGCTGTGCAGTTCACTGGTAAAGGTGTCTTGTTTTCTTTCTGTACAAAGGCCAGTTGAAAGTGAAGAGTAAACATGACTGATGTTTGGTTTTAGGTGACTGTTTGACATCAATGACCTGGATCCATCATGTTTTTTGTTTCGATTTAATTTCCTCAGAGTTCTTAGTGTGTTTTTTTGACTATGTCGTTACCCTAATCGCTGTATGTTGGGACTGATTATACCTTGAAAGCAATAAAAAGATTAGAAAAATCTATAAG